TATGCTCTCCATCATTCACTCTTTCCAGCAGACCATGCTTTTGAGTGGCGTCTGCTGGTTGCTCTGGGACCGAGAACTCCAGCCATTACCTAGAGCTGGGTACGGAGCGTTAACACACACCCCCCCCCCCCCCCCTTAGCACTAGCTCAGACTCCCTGTAGGCGTCCCTCCTGGGTGGGAAGCAGTCAAATCTTAGCTTCCTTTAAGAACTCACTTTATTTCATCCAAAAAAGAGTTTTTAGATCAACTTCATTTTTAAAGTAAATTTCATTTGAATTGGTGGGAAATTTCCAAATGACATTCGCTGACAATAGCTGAGTATTTTTGAGCCTGGGGTCTGAAACTTGCTGCCTCAGAGCCTGTAGAACTTTCTTTACAGGGAATTATGCTCCGGCGGGCTCTTTTTTCATAGTTTCATGTACTCTGACTGAAATGTGAAAATTACAATCATGTGTAAATTATGATTCTGGATATTTAATTGGCATGAATTTTAATTTTTAATTGGAAGCAGGTTATTAAAGCCTTTGATTATTTCCAGTGCTTTTTGACAATATATTAATTAAAAAATCCTCTTTTTACTTTTCCATTAATAGAGTCAAATGCAGGATGCAAAGTGTGTCTTTTAATGTAAAATGTTGCTTTTGGAGAGCGATTATATTCCCTAGGTATAGAACTTGACAGGATGTTCCAGTCTATATCTACTTGGTAAGTTTCATTAGCTTTGTGATTTCTCTTTAGAGGGATTTTTGGCTCCTTGTCAAAAATCCTTGTACTGCTCCCATCATGAATCCAAATAAGTTCAAGCTTCTTATCAGTAAAGAGTGGTTTTGATATAAGGTTCTCTTGAAGGCTGAACAGTTTATTTTCTTATGAATAGCATTTGAATTCATTGTGTTGAGCGTTCTTAGAGGGAATTACCTTTATTATTTAAAATAGCTATTTTGACCTTAATCTAATATTATTGCTCTGTTATTTAAGTTTTATTGTGTTGTGTTTTTTTTTTTTGCCCCATAGTAGCATGATTTATGACAGGGTAGGATGAAGCACATAAGGATTTTCCAAGACATTTTAGTACGCACCTCTGGCCTTCTCCTGGCTAGTTAATGCTTCATTGCCAAATTGTATTGTTTTCTTTTTATATTTATTTTCCTCCTTAGTCTTCAAGATAATTTTATAAGGAAAATTAAAATAAAACAGTTGTACATACCCTAAATGTGCTTCAAAATTCTGTTATATCATATTTATGTATCAAATTTTGATCAGATTTTCATTTGGTCATAGAAAGTTACAGATTCTAAGAGATTGTGTGTAGTTGGACTTGTGGTTCTTAAACTTAAACTACCTAAAAGACTGCAGTATATCCGAAGTGCCATTTACTCATCCAGCAGACCTTACCGAGCACTGCTTTTACCAAACTGAGAAACACCATGTCCTCAAACCCCAAAGGGTTCATGATTTACTGGAGGATGGACGTGGGAATGGAGAAGGACTAATACAAATCGATAACGGAAAAATAAAAGTATAAACAGTGCTCTGGGAAACATGGAGGAGGGAACAATTAGTTCTGCCTACATAACTTGGGATATTTTGCCAGAGGAGTTAACATTTGATGTGAACCTTGAAAGACAAGAATATATTAACAGGTGAAAAGAGGGGGAAGAAGTGCAGCAGAAATAGAACAGCGTGAGTGAAAAAAGTACCAGTTGATAGTTATGAAATTAATATAGTTACTCCTTTTAACCATGTGATCCATTTACCCATGATGCTCAGTACTAACTCTTATCCAGTGAAGTTACTCCTTTTGGTTACATGATCTATTTACCCAGCATCCTCAGTCTTAACTCCAAACCCATTGAAACTCTTGGATTAATTTCAGTTTGCCCTATAGTCATAACTTGAGAATAAACAAAATGGATAAAAAGCTATCATCCATATAAGTTTACCTTCCCAGTAGTGGAATCGATCCCAATGGAACGATCACATTTGACTGATCTATGCATTATTGATAAATTTGAGGAATGATTAATTTGCAAGCCATTTATCTAATAAAAATATTGAGGACTTGCTTAATGAAAATACTGAAATTACAGAAAAACAAAGTTCTTGTTGCAGTCATGTAAATAGGTGCAAATAGGTAGAACACCTGTAATAAGGCCTCAGATGTAAGAAGATATGCTGTGGGTGGCTGTGCACACCAGTGTTAAAGGAACATAGGATAGTAAGAGCCAGCTTACCTTCTTGAATGAGGCAATATTTCTGAGTAGCAGTTTGAAGGAGAAGCTTCAGAAACAGAGAAAGGGAGAACTCTACGTAAAAGAGAGAAAACCATTGATTTAGACCACTTATGAGTCTTCTTTGGTATTAAAAAATAATTCACACTCATGTTAAAATCTATGGTTGGGGTTGAAAAGTCAACTGACTTCTTTTTTAATCAATTACTCTGTTATATTTCAAAACTATCATTTTAGGCCATGCCTTCTTTTTTATGGAGAGTTCTTTAATTCTAACTGATTCATAAATTTTATTTTTTCAATATAGTAAGCTTATTTATACTTCCTCTAAGATTTAGGCATATCATTTTCTTATGTTTTCTGTACCTTCCTAGTTAGTGGAAACATTGTTTGTTCTTGGAGTGTGCTTTGTCTTCCTTTTCAAGAATATCATCAAAGTTACTAGTTTGCAGCTTCCAAAAAGAAAGGGCCTTCTAATCCCTAGTTCAGAGGCTAACCTTTATTAGCACTCTCGTGGTTATAATGAGGACCCTGCTTCCAGCAGGGAGATTCTGGAATACTGAACAGATTATTCAACAAGTTCAGAGCAGATTCTGAAGTCCCTTATAAAACCTGCTTGTGAATACTGCTTTCTTTGCTTTGCTGTTTCTGGTTTCCATAGTATTCCTAATTATATAAATCATGTGGAACATGGGGGCTTTTTTCCATCCTACATCAGTTCTGACACTGCTTGCGTTTTGATACAATCTATATATTTTTTTCTAAGCTGTATTTTGTCTTAAATTCTTATGGAGGGTACAAACTCTGAAAAAAGTAGAGTTTTGTGTTAGAAGATCTATGAAATTCTTCTTTGGAATCCCTTGTGCTGACATAAAGAATTTGGAAATTATTTTGCGACAACCATAGATGAATAAGGCTGTAAGACTAGAGAATCTGATAAAATTTGCTCAGGTTTAAATTCAAGATTCAATCTAAATTGTAAATCATTCAACTTTATCACCTACTTCTCAATATGTAATGCCTTTCCATGTTCAAAAGCTATACTACGTTCAATGAGTGTACCAATTAAAAGTTTGCAAATTAAAATCCAATACATAGTAATATATGAATGTTGTAGCAGTTAACTAAAAGCGCCGATGATTCTTAAGCTAGGTTTCTTTAGGAAAAATTATAATCAAGATTGATTAGTATACATTAGTATACATTTTTTGAAAGATTGAAGAGTTATCATTCTAAAAATAAGTTTATTTCTCTTTTGCTTTTTATTTCTTTTATAATATATGTGATCTATTTTTAAAAAGTTTGAGGTATTTTTTATGATAAAACTTGTAGAGAAAAGCAGTTGCTTTAGGAGTATAAAAATGGTTTGATATGTGAATTTTAGGAATTAATTTCTCAGGCTGGGTGAGTGAATTTCATGCACACATCTAAAGATGTCTAAACAGTCATTGGGTCATAATTTCCTTTTAAATTTGTTTATAAAGTCTTAGAACATCTTAAGCTCTATTTCCAACATTCTCCTTAGTGTTGACTATGTTAGAAAGAATTTAAATTGTGCTTTGGTAGGGAGTTGCAGAACTTTGTGCCATAAAATGCATAACTTTCTTACTAAGAGCAAAATTCAGCAGAATACCAGTAGCAAAGGCCATTAGCGTAACTCAGCTGCTTAGCAGCTCAGCTGAACCTAATTGTAATTCAGTTTCCAGATTGCTATGCTGGGCCTCTCTGCATAAAATATGCAACATATAACATAACCAATTCTTTGCTGGTGATCTATTTAATTTCCTTTCTAGTAAGAATATGTATCAGAATAAGGTAGCCAAGCCATATAGTTATTTTGTATGTTTATGTTGTGTTACATGTACACACTTAAGTAAAGACCAAGTTAAAAAAATGATATACTTTCATTTTTCTGGGTTCCCCAGTGTTCCTAAGATTTTTAAAAATTTCTTTATTTCTGGCATTTCAGAGGGAACTTAAATCTTGAAAAATGTTAGCTAGCTGCCATGTTATTTGACTGTTTTACACTAGAAAGACTTTATAAGCTAATCATCTGAAAAAGTGTATAAACGTCTGTCAAGTCCATATGGATGTTGCGGTACAGGCCCACAAGTAAATATCTTCTATCTGTTTGCAAAATGTGCACGGGAATAGCATTCCTGAGTCTCTGACTAGCTTATATCCCAGAAACTTAAAAACAAAAGAGCATGATAAAATGCTTGCTTAAGTTTCTCCCCCCTATTTTTAAACAGCCTTGCCACACTGTTTTATGGGTTATTTAAGCAATGGCAGTGAAAAGACTTAAATAGGATGGCTTATATCAAGGTGTAGATTATATTTTATGAATAATTTCCAGATGTGATATTTTAGGTACATAGACTCCCCTACGGGAAGCTATACGCAGAAACAACATGGATCTTACAATTTTATCAGGACAATGCAAGTAGATTTCAGCAAGGTTTGTTCCAACTCATCTGTGATAAATGAGAAGATAAGGCAATCAGTGCACACCATGACACTCTGTGCAGCTAGTTAGGCACACTTCAGAACTACTCAGGTGTGCTCACAAAGCTTATGAGTCTTGCATGGGGGGTGTCTCAATATAAATACATCCTTCATGGTGGCCACTAGTAATGCCTCTATAAGACTTAACCCAGGTCAGATATAAATAATAGATGTTAAGAGTTAGCTCTGGTATTGAGGCTGTGTTCCAGGCAGTGTATTTCAGTTGGGTCAAAAGAATTTATTTTCTCTTATTTTCTCGCATAGTTCCTCTGCTTGAAAAATGCCTGCAAAATTCCATCACACCTTTGCGGGGACCAGTTTGGGTCTCTAAGGGAGAAGGTTTCAGCCCCTCAGGAGCTAAGATGTACCTTCAAGGAGTTCTTTTGGCCTTGTACCAACGATTAAAGTCTGCAGAAAAATATTATAAGCAGGTGAGTCATCCCTCTTTAAAAACTGCTTTATTATATGTTTGAAAATATACTTGGTTGTTTAGAGACAATGGTTGGCATCGTGTCATAAAAGAACTGCGATACGTATTTTGTGAGCTCAGTGCCCGTTAGGAAGCCAAAATGCTTCTTCTGTAATCTCAAAGCCAACAAGAATGGGGCTGATTGTGTCTGTCTTTTGGTATAGGATGTCATATGTCTCGTCTTTTCTTGCTGCATACTGTGCAAAGGCAAGGCAACTCCTTATGTAGAAATCTATAGACAGTTACTTTAAATAAGAAAATGAGTAGCTCCTAAGGCATTTGAAGGTTTAAAGTTTCAGCCTTCTTTTTTATTTTATTTTATTTTTCAATATGAAATCAGAATTGCTAATTTAGAAGTTGGGCTAAAATATAACCAGTTATATTTTGGGAAATTAAATTGTGAATTAACTTCACGTCAAGAGTAACTTACTTCATTTATGCTTATTTAACTTGCATGTTTCAGGAAAGAATAGAAATAGGATTAATGTTTTTGAATCAGGTTAAACTAGATTTTGTCCTTTAATTTCTAAGTATCCATTCCATACTTGTGATTGTGTGTGTGTAAAGTCTCTGATATTTTTATAGCTATTTATAGGGACTGACCATCTTAAAGCAGAGTTCACGTTGTAAAGCAGACTGTTCCATGCCATTTATAAAATAAGAATGGACTTGCCACATTTTTAGAACCCTCTTCACACTTGGTCTTAAGCATACGTTTTACCACGTTAAAGAAGGGCTGGGTTTTGCCTTTCTAACTGGGAGGCTCCAGTCTGGAACTGGGCTCACTTTCTCAGGCCACCGGCTGCTGGAACATGAGTATTTTGAAAGCATCGTGCTGTTATTCTCTGAGTGCAGGGGGCGGGGAAGTGGGAATGAGACTCAGTCCTAGTGTACACACAGCGCCTCCTGCTGTCTGCTTTGGAAAAGAACAACCTGTGTTGACTGCAATGAATTCTTGGACTAAGGTATCCAGAACTAACAAGAAACAGCTTCCCGTGAGAAACTTTTATTCTCAAAATGTGATTGGTTTGATTAGTTAATTAGTTTCAGTGGATTCAGAAATGTAATTAATAATTAACATATATAAGGCTATTTATAATAATAAATATGAAAAAATAAAAATCCAAACATTTTTAATCTTTATTAAGTTGATATCATATATAAAAACTGGTGTGAAATATACTTTATTGTATTTAGATTAAACTATTTTAACTGAAATATTATTTAACTTTTAATATATAATGATATTATAAACTGGATTATGACCAATTTAATTGCAATCATTTGGTATTAAATGGTTTGATTCCACTTATTAGACGGTTTAAAATTATTTAATGTTAAAGAAAATGTGAGACTGTTTTCCAATGCCGGAACACTACTGTTTAAGTCAAATCTAACAAAAACTTAGTAAGTTTTATGAAAAATGAGGGTGTTAGAGATAAGAAACAGCTTGGAAAGTAGTTATGGCATGTTTTTTTCTTCCATTGTCCTAAACGTTTAAAATTTTAATGGATGTAAAGAGTTGGACTAGATTGAAAAGAGTTCTGTGTATTGCGAGAGAAGAAAATGCTTTAAGAATTACTGCTTTGATTTTAACTTTATGACTCAAAATTGATGAAAAATACATTTTATTAAAATAAATATTAAATGTAAATATGAGCAAAAATTAACATTTTTAGCATTTCTAGACGTCTGAGCATCTGAAATTGTCTATATCATCAACATTATGACTTCTAATATTATGCAAAATTTAGGAATATTTAAAAATCTAGGATCTTTGCCCTTCCTAACTAAACTTTTTTTCTTTTGCTCAGTTGTAATAACTTAAAGCTTGCACTCAACAGTTTTAATATGATACTTCGTTTTATTTTAAAATATAAAGATGAAGAAAAAGACGTGGAAATTTGCCTATTATGCATTTCCATGCAAATTTCTGTTTCTTTTAGATATGCTCATTTATATGTATTCTTGAGTCTCTTTTGTATTGTTATATCATGACAATTTAAAATTATTTGCGATGTTTGGAAAAGTCACTGTAGTGGTACCATTATCAGGTCATCAGTGGTTAAGTGTTAAGACTGGCAATAGCTTTATTTGTGAGAAGGATTTCTTAGTAGATATCCCTATTAGCATTTATGAACTTTATTTGAACTGCATTTACTTCGTTTGACCTTAGGGATAGCCTTTTTTATTTAGTTTTATATAGGATTGTGTTAAGGAATCAGTAGATAGGTAAAATGGAGATAGATGATTCCTGTTCCCTTAACAAATCTAAGCTTATAAATTATAGGATTATATGAACTCTTGATATCATTTCCATTTATTCTACTTCTGAGATCATACATAAAAACAATGATATTGTTTTGCTGGGATTCTGTCAAAAGATTATAGACTTTAAATTGATGTTTTGGAATTCCCAAAGGAAATTTCTTTTAAATAAATTGTAATAATATAGCTTTAAAAGAAAAGTCAGAACTACTGGTTTTATGTTATGAACTTATTCATTTTTCAGTTTTTAACTTTAACGTGGCTATTATAGCATGCAACTGAATTAAGCCCACTACATTAGTGTGGTCTTCAATATATACTGATTCGTGTATATAAAATGAGATATTATATTTAGGACAGCATAAAGTCACTTAGTCTTACATTTATCACATTTATTTCCTTAAAAGTGGAAACGTCTTAGAAATTCCTCAGAGCTAAGCAGAATCTGTTTAATTGGTAATCTTTGAAGTGGCATAAACGTGCTCCTATGAAATGCAGTTAACACTTTCAGCGATGGCTGTTCTGTCTCATTAGCATTCTCGTTGTGTCTTGGTGCTGTTGGTGGGGGTGTTGGAGCAGGAATGCCATTGTGTCGAGTTCCAGTGTTTGGGGACAAACACTGCTGTGGAAGGAACGTGTGAAAAGGCCACAGTCCTGTCAGTGAATGAGGAAGGCTGTGCTTTCTGTGTGCTTCAAGCAGGGAAGCTGTCATTCATGGGCCTAACACAACTAAACAGGGGCCAAAACACAAGACTGCACTACCTTTTAAAATGATATTAGTGATTTTTAAACATGATCTTCTTTATTTATGATCCTACATAGAGCTTTTAGTTGCTGTTAGTACACAAAATATATGTCAGTCTGTTCAGAAGCACTGTAGAGACGCGTAAAAGTCCGTGGAACTGTGCCAGGAGGCCATGTAAATAACGCTTCAGAACGGCTGATCTTAAGTACAAATGGGATTTTGGGGAAACATTTATTTCTGGAAATGTCTTCTCAATTTTGATACTCTTTTGAATTATTTTCCCCCAACCAACAAAATTCCTGGAGTTTTATGTAATGAATGCATTGCACACTTCTAAGATAGGGTTTTTAAAAGAGCTCATAAACGTACAGTTTTAATCACTGAAAGTGGTTCACAGTGTAGCTTGGCAGTTGTTATAGATTGCACGGTCGTTTCTGAAACTCAGAGAGAAACAAAGGAAACAAGCGTCTAACCCTCATGTCTTAACCACCATGTGAATTATGAAGAAGGTCACAGTCCCCGTGGTGGTTAAGACATGAAAACATTTGAAGAAATTTTTAATTCTACTCCTAATTTTCAGCACTTTGGAAAGAAATGATCAACTTTGAAATTAAATTTTAGCTTGCTTGCTTACTTAAAAAAAATGAAACAGAAAAACACCCTCAAATATTTCTTAAAATCTGGCAGCATTTTTTAAACTTCAGCAGTGTGTTGAAAAAAACTGACAACTTTTCTTTATGTCTGAAGCTGCAGGGAAATGTTTTATTTCTGTAATTTTATTCTGGAAATATATATGTGGGCTATTTGTAATAGATCATTACTTACTAAAGTTTGTTGAAAACTATAATTTTCTACCTGAGTGATTTAAATTTTTTTGTGTGTATATGGTCCTTTTTGTTTATTAATTTAAGGAAAGTACTTTTTCAAATGCTATTAGATGCTATTTCTAAATGTTCCATGTTTGATGCATTGGGTTTAAAAATCTTAGATACTAAATTTCTATTTCAAAAATTAGGTTTCAGTTTTTAAATTGGAACTGAACTGTAATTTTATTTAGTGGGCATATAATTAGATGAGGAAATGATCATCCAACTTCAGCATATATTGGTTTTGCAGTTTAAAACTGAAATGAATTTTGTTATCACATTAAACTAACCTCTACCAAAGCACTTAGATTTTATTTAAAAAATTTCATAAGTTAATGTTGGTTCACTTTACCCGCACTTTCAATAAGTTTGGTACTTATATATCAAACCAATAATAATAATATAATTCTATTCAGAATAGATTCAGTTCAAAATATGCTGAATTACATTTAGTGCTGACAGAATTTATTTATTGCAAAAAACATTTTTAAAAGAATCTTAATATTTTAATTTCCTATGAAAGAAGTGTTAAAAGTTTGTCTTTTTGGATCTTGTGCCTTAGGTCAATCAAAATCATTTATTAGTCCTAAATTACTGAAGGAATAACTATTCCTATTTCATTTTCTATATATACTTTTTTTTTAGTTTGCCAGCTACATTTTTTTCCAGCTTTTTTGAGATATAATTGATGTATAACAAGGTGTACAAAGTGATGATGATTTGAAACACTTATATATTGCTAAATGATTACTATAGTAGGGTTAGTTAACACCTCCATTGACTCACGGTAATTACCATTTCTTTTTTGTGACGAGAACATTCAAGATCTACTCTCTCTTATCAACTCTCAAGTATATAATACAGTACTGTTAACTGTAGTCACCTACTGTACATTAGATCTCCATCTGTATATACATTAAAAATTGGGCTGTTTTCTTGATTTTTGCCTTCCTGGGTCAATATTTCAAAATATTTCAGCTTTGAACTTCTTGATGTCCTTTGAAACCTTGGAACAAAATCTATAATATATAAACGTAACTTACTCTTAAAAACATTAAAATAGTGTTGCAGATGTTTCAAAAT